TAACACCGCGGAAAAATGTCTGCGCATGCACCGAATTATGAAAATATGGCGGGGAATTTGAACATCAATTTCTAAAACAAAAACATGCTTATTAATTTGTTAAAAATTAGTAAAACAAACGAGAAAATATAGCAAATGGGTAGACTAGACATTAATTGAAAGCGTCCTGGCATTTAAAGTATGGAATGAAATATAATTCATGTAAAAATTGTTGATTTTAACGGACACGACTTCGAAAATTTTTGCAAAATTATTCAAAACAAAAATTCAAACTCAAAAGTTAAGAAAACTCTCGAAAAGTTAAGCTTCTTAACCCACTCAAATTGTAGAATAAATCCTAAAGTTTAATTATTGTGAACACGAAAATTTTTTATGTTTGGCGACACAGTTTTTTTTAAAGAAATGTATCTCAAACGAAAATTCGGAAATTGTCGTTGCTTAGTTGATAAACAAAATGTTTCAGACGATAAATTTGTCAACAATCACCTTTAGTTTATGTTCTTGTACAATACAATTTCTTGAACCTTCTGGCTGTATTTATTCCTAGTTTTTAGAATGACATGTTTATTTTTGCGCTCGAAATCTGGCCGTAAAGACGCACAATGAAGTCACTCCTTTTTACCGCCATTTTGAGCCTTCGGAAACGTTCGGAACAGCTTCTCATCAAGTTCGCAATACTATTACAGGTAAGGTTGACGCATGCGCAGACGTTTTTCCGCGGTGTTCCCAGAAGTACGTAAATTTATCAACGTATTTTCAATCTACGCATGCTCACCAGTACGATTCGGTACGATACGGTTGAAATGGAAAACGACCTTCAAGCCTGTTTTCGACTTCAACTGTATCCTATCGTAGCATTTTCTGTTGTGTCGAAGTCATTAGTTCCACACTACCGCTCAGGCGACAAAGAAATGCGCTACGTTTCGGTACGATACGATTGAAATGGAAAACTGGCTTTACTGTAAAGCTGATCCACTGTTGCGTTTTTCATATCTAATATAGTAAATTTAAGTAATTATATAGTAATTTCATATCTAATTTAGTAAATTTAACATTAGATTTTCTGGTGCTAAAATTTGGAACTGTCTTCCTTATCATTATAAAGTTCTTAGTTTATCCAGCTTCAAACACACAATCATATGTGGCTTTCTTTCCAACTATTAATTGTATATTTATAGTTTTGTATTCCATATAACTTAATTTTGTGTATATGTTATGTCTACATTATGCTTGTGCTTATATTTTGCATATATATATAAAAATTTATTTTTCTTAAATCTCTATATAATGCCATCAATCCCCCAGCTAATTGAATATTAGTAATTTAATTCAAATGGGTTATCTGACTCGATTAACTGTATATGGTTATCTCAGAAACCCAGCACGAATTATTTTGTCCTATTGATTAATTATTAATCGTTCTAAAAAAATTTTGTATATTTTTTATTTTTGTAAAAGCGTGCTGAATAAAGTCTTCTTCTTCTTCATACCGCGTGCGTATACGCATGTAAAACTTTAAATCCGTTTAAATGTTACTCATGAAATAACCAAATAAATAAAGCAACAGAATTTAGTGTTCCGCAAGTTTTAGTATGCATTTGTTAACTTATTTGTAAAATATTTTAAAAATAGAAGGATTCAAAGTTTTACGTGCGTGTACG